CTCATATATCCAAGTGCAATGCAAGCATGTTTACATGGAAGACCTGAAATGTCCTGATAATTGCAAGTGCATGTCCTTTTCCCAATGTCAACAACAAAAGCCCACAGGCGCCTCTCTCACCTCAAACTCATTATTGTTACTTGGTAGTATCTTGCATTGTCTAGATTCTTTTATTAATCTGTTCAATGCACTCATGCATTTTAGAGTCACTCTCCCATCCCAAGTAGCAGCCATTGCAAACCTTTTATGAAGCCTAACCATACATTTCTGCCTAATAAAGTCTATTAACTCCACAATTGGTTTGTTCCTCAAGTTTCTAATCCATCCGTTGAAACTTTCTATCATGTTATTTGTCGCATCAATACTTTTAGCTGCTGGATGAAAGGCATGTCTAGTCCAATATGAAAGGGGAATATCCAGTAACCATTTTGTAGCCTTTCCCTCATTATTAGCCTCAACATTCTTCATATGCTACTTAAATGCATAACTATTGCTAGACTTAGCTGCAATCCAAAATTCCTTCCTCAACATCACCCTGGAAATTGCTTCTTGAAGTTCATTAACAAATGTTGATAGCAATATTCGTGCATTGAACCTTCAAACTGTGTCCTCACAGCCTCAAGCAATCCCTATGTTCAAAAAGCATTCAACATCATTAGCTAAATAGGTGAAAATTTTCTTCTTCAGTTCCTGAATAGCTTCTTTCAAAAGGTTTTCTGCTTCTTCGGTGAATGTTTTAGTAGAAGATATTATTTCTCAGAACTCAGGTTTATTCATTTTTAAGTAAGTACGTAACTCAACGAGAAATTTCTTTATTTGTCCATCTTCTAATGAATCAAGATAACCCGTTGTTCAGGCATAAATAGTCATTATTTGTTCCTCCACTGTGAGAGGAGCGGATTGGGATTGTTTGGAATTATGAAATACTTTGGAGGAAGTTACCTTTTGTCTGTTTGAAATAAATGTCCATGGCTTGGAATCACACCCAGGTCTAATGCATTGTCTAAGACAGTCAAGGAAGAAGGTCCATGTTGCAGTGCTTTCATTTTGAACAATTGCAAAAGCTAGTGGGAACACCCCCTTATTCTCATCTAGTGTAACAGCACTCAGAAAACATCCTCCAAAAGGACCCTTGAGGAAGCATCCATCCAATCCAATGAGAGGCCTACGCAAAAGCTAGTGGGAGACAGACCCCCTTATTCTCGCGATCTAGTGTAACAGCTTATTCTCATCTAGTGTAACAGCACTCAGAAAACATCCTCCAAAAGGACCCTTGAGGAAGCATCCATCCAATCCAATGAGAGGCCTACATCCCTCTAAAAATCCCACTTTCATTGCTTTAAAACATATGAAAATGGAGTTAAAGAGAAGTGGCTCATCCAAACTGTTTTTGGCATTGATTCAAATTTTATGAAAGTTTCAAGGTTTGACATTTGAAGATGTGCAATGTATTCATGCAACTTATTGTAGCTCTCCTTATGTGAACCTGCAACTTGCTCTCTAGCAGCTGTCCTTGCCTTATGAAGCTGCTAATATTCAGTCTTAATTCCCCATTTTTCCTTCAACTCAGCTTGCATTAAAGCAAAGCTCATTCCTCGATCAGCAGCCAATTGAGATTCCAGTTTCTTCTTCACCCACCCATTTTGTTGTTGCATTTGGATTCTTGTTGTTTAATGGCCTCATGCATTTATGCTCAGGTTGGTTTAAGTGGCTCATGCATTTGATGCTCAGGTTGTAGGGTTTTTAAACGTATAAAGTGACTAAAGTTTGGAGCCAACACTAGCATGGAATCTAATGGGCAACTCGTTCCAAATTACTTTTGCTGTCACTTTTTACTATCCATTCTTGATCAATTCCTTATTGATGAACCACTCCCTTAACAGGCATAATTTCTTGATCATCCTTATTATGAACCCTCCCTTAACAGCATAATCCCTTAAAGCTTTCCTACAGCTATCAACACTAAAGAATGCATGCCCAACTCTGAATTCAATATCACCTTCATCTGGTGTTTCAAAAATATTGTCATATATTTTCTTCCAAAGATCTCCTATTTTCTTTTTAACTCTTCTCCTTCTTGGTGCACCAACCTCCATGTCACTACTACTTGCAGCTGACTGTTCCTTGTCAGTATCAACATCACTGAGACCATCATCAACATCATTATTGATGTCAATATCCTCTTCTGGATCTATTTCCACACCTCCATGTGTTTCAGATTCAGTACTCTCATCTTCAATACCAGAAAAGACATAGTCATCATCTGTGGACTGGCTATCAGCAACAGTTTCTATTTCTCCCCCTTCCCCATCCAGTGTTTGTTCTTGTTGTACCCTATGTCTAAAGCTATAAGAGGCTCCAATTGCAATTGCTCTTTTCCCCTTCCTATTGTCCCTATTCACATTTACCTAATAAACATTTGCCCTACCTCTACATCGCCCTCTCCCCCTCCCTCTGCCCAAACCGTTTACATCTACCTCTACATCGCCCTCTCCCCCTCCCTCTGCCCAAACCGTTTACATAGCCTAAATACTCAATGTCGTCAGCCAGCACATTATCCCACATCTGTGATCCTACCAAAATTTCTACCCCCTTCCCCCTCCCCTACCTGTAGCCTCTCTATTTCCAATCCCACCCCCTACATTTTCTTGCTCAATAATAATCACATCTCCAAGATCCCCACTCATCTCAGTATGTGGCTCGATATTACTTTCTGCCTCCCTAACAGCATTACCTGGAACTTCCCTATTCTTAGGCTGCAATTTTTCATGATGTAAACCCATATTATTTGCCACCTGACTCTGGAACACAATTGGCATAACAACACTTGGTTCACCTTGCTTTCTAACCAAATTCAGTTCAATATAAGCAGTGAGTGTCCTTGGAATCTTTCAAACATTAAAAATCAACGTCTACATCGTTTCTCTATGCTATAATTTTCAAAAAATATTGTAATATCCACATTCCCCATCTTTATCGTTATGAATTTGCATACATTTTGTAAGAGAAACAATGTAGCTCATTCTGTCAGGCTGTGCATCATCAAATAATAAGTTATCCCCTTAATATATGACCCGTAATAGTGTAGGCTTTCAAGCAAAGCCATCAAATTCAAGCTTCTACACTACAATTTAAACATATGTTTAAAAATGAGCATTAACGTATGCAAAAACCCCAAAATGCATGTCTCATTATAGAAAAGAGAACAATGTAGCTCATTCTGTCAGGCTGTGCATCATACAAATACATAGTATCCCCTTAATATATGACCCTAATAGTGTAGCTTTCAAGCAAAGCCATCAAATTCAAGCTTTCCTACACTACAATTTAACACATATGTTAAAAATGAGCATTAACGTATGCAAAAACCCCAAATGCATTCTCATTATAGAAATAAGAACTCATAACAATGCCGAAGCATTTCAATATACCAAAAATCATCATCATAAACATCCTTAAAAATATGGGTTTTCAATTTTTTCAAGAAAAAACTGAAATGGGTCTCAGTTTCTGATATTTACCTCAAACACGAAGCTTCAAGATTGTGATTCCACGCAGACGAAGCACTACATGCTACAAGCACTCACTTCATATCGTCAAGAAACATCATTTTCTAGAAAATTTCTTCAAAACGTGAACAGGCAAACAGCGAGGTGTTGGATTGACAAGTTTTCGTTTTGGAGAACTGGCGAAGTGGGTCTGGCTTTTCGTTTCCCCCCTTGGAAGGTCATACTGGTCCACGTCAGCGAGGGAGGGGTGTTTTAGTATTTTTGTCTTTCATTAACGGCAAAACACCCCATTTTCAGACGGAATGACTTTTTGATTAGACGGAGTTAAAGGTCAGGAATGTGTCACATATTATATAAAACGTCGAAAATTACTTAGATAATTATGGAAAACATCAGGGACCTATAAATAATTTTCCCTTTATTAATATATGAGGACTTTGTGTTTAGAAATAAAGAGATCTAGAAATTAAAAATTCAGTGGGCCCAATTTACAAGAGGCTCAAATTTTAAAAAGTACCATATATTTAAGAAAAACTCGGAATTTGAATTGAATCAATAGGTAACTGGTTTTTATTCGGTTTTTATCAGTTTAGACCGGTCTTTAAGACTGTCGATATAAAAATAAATTAAATAATTTTTTCATACTTAAAATTAAAAATTAAAAGATATAAAAATAAGAAGAAAAATCTTAAACCATTGTTTCAATTATATTATCTATATTGTCAAATTCAAGAGCTAATTCACACAGCAACAAAATTTGATATGTTATACTTTAATTTATTTATTTTTATCATTTTTTTTATTTTTCTTCTATAATTCTAAATCTAAACAACAAAATTTCTAAACTTAAACTCAAAAAATAAATATTTGGTATCAATTTGTTTAATCTAAGTGTGGAAAAATTTTATTTTATGCCACATCGAGGCTTTCTTATCTTTATTTATTTATTTATTTATTTTACACTACTTTCCTTAATTGACTTTCTAGATTTTCCAACAATTGAATAACCTTCCTCAATTTGGTTAGTTAATTTATCCACATAGATAAACTCATGGAAAAATTAAATTTTATTGAAAGAGCTGAACTGAATTCTTGTACAAGAATTATTCCAAAAAGATGTAAATTAATAATGAATTTAATATATTTTTATTTTTTCAAGATCTTTATTTATCCACCTAAAACCAACAATAATCAAGCTTCAGAAGACTACCTAACTAGGATTAAGCATCCTCCAACACCTAAACAGTATCAGTTCCATAAAGAAGGGGTATTCTTTGGCACTGACATTAAAGTTTTAATTTGAGGATTTTAGCCCTAATTGAGAATTGAAGTTATTAATTTATTGGGTTTGAACTCAATTTAGGAATTAGGGTTCCAAAATTGAAGTCCTAATTTGGAGATTTTTCTTAAAAATAAAATCCTATTTTCCCAATTTGGGAGGCAATGTGCCATTTAGGCACATTACTGTACTGTACTATATAAAGCTGAAAATGAAGATGAACCAATATAAATTATATTTGTATTAATATCAACTAATGAGAAGAATATTTGAACTCATTGGAATTCCATTCATATCTTTACAAGAAAAAGAATAGTTTACTAATAGCTCCGCCCAACAAGACCAATACTCTACTTAGTTGAGTTGAATCAAATTAATTGTTGCACAGAAACCCAGAAAAAACTGCAACTCCCTGAAATGAATTTCAGATGCAAACCTGTAGAGAAACATTTCCATCTCATTTCTACTCAATATCCAAGCATCTATACCTGTCAGAACTCAAAATATTATTTGGTCAGAAAAATTCTTTGGCCCTAAGTAAAAAAAAACAAGTCAACAAAGATTTAAAAAGTTGGTATATGCTAACCCTGATAGCTCTTCTTTCAAATATTCTAGGCCGAGATGACTCTACACTCTTACTAGCAGCAGTGCTAGTGCCTTCTGAATCTTGTATTGCTTGCTTCAAGCTCTGGACCACCTCATCCATAGTTGGCCGTTCTTTCGGATTCTTGTTTAGACAGCTATCTGCTAACTTAGCAATTTTCTTTGCTGCTACAATAGAGAAATCGTTTCTGAGCCGAGGGTCCAATATCATGCTGAACCTGTTACTGTCAGCTGGGAACTGTTTCACCCAATCTAGAAGTTTCTGCTCTGCTGTTGGCCGATTTCTTTCTAGAGTTCGCCTACCGGTAAGGATTTCATAGAGTACAACACCGAAGCTCCATATGTCACTGTGGCTTGTAAGATGACCTGTCTCAACATATTCTGGGGCCGCGTACCCATATGTCCCAACCACCTGATAGTACGAACAATCCATTAGTCAATACCAGAATAGAAGCAAGAAAAACTTAACAATAAAAGTTTTGAAATGTAATCAATCAGCTCCATGTGCCTCATTAATAGTTAGAAAATTTCCAGGTAAACCACATGATTATGACAGTTTACCAAAAACTAAAACTCGGTTTACTTTTGTTATATCTAACGCGACCAAATGGCCACATTTTATAGCCTGAAAATTGCTTCTACTGTTATGGTTCGAGGATGTTGCATCTCTTAAATAGCCCCGTTTATTGGTGGAATGGAAAATGCAATCAAGTATGGTTTGTATGTATACACACACATGGACATACAATTGGATATACTTACCCCTGTGGATACATGAGTGTTGTCACCTGTTGGTCCTTCCCTAGCAAGTCCGAAATCTGAAAGCTTCGGCTTAAAGTTGTCGTCCAACAATATATTTGAGCATTTGAAATCTCGATATATCACCTGCAAAATTAGCACAAGGAAATAAAGAAAACAGGAGTCAATAACTTCTCTTGTAATGTACCAAAATTTTCAATGAAGCCTATTTAAAACAAAAAAAAATATATATTTTGTGGCTCCACAAGAGAAGCAAAGTGGAGTGATCATACTACTACGAGTCTACACCTATAAATTAGACTTTAAATAAGATATCCCTGGATTCCTAAATCAGATAAAACAATGTTTTTTTGACTGGAAGATCTTTACAATGTTATATTTCCAGTGCCCATAAGCTAAGAACTAAAAATCTACAAATTCAATTCTATCACTTAGCAAGTTGGCAAGATAGCTCTAAATTCTATGATAGTCCGTCCGAGTTTTAACTCAACACATCAATAAGTGATGATGTCATCAATTAAATTCAGCTGCATCGAAGAAAACAATACCTGGACTTCCATTCCTCCATGTAAGTAAGCCAATCCTTCAGCCGCTTCAAGCATAATCTCTAATCTTTTTTTCCAAGGCAAAGTGGGTAAAGTACTCCTAAAAAGATGGTCTTCTAAGCTCTTATTAGACATATATTCATACACCAATAACCGCTGGATCCCCCTTTCATCATCTACTGAGCAGTAACCAAGAAGTTTTACTAAGTTTGGGTGGCTAACAACTCCAAGAAATTGAACCTCCGCAAACCATTGTTTGTGGCCCTATATCAAATAGGAATAATCACCAAAAGAAACATATGTTAGTCCAAAAGACAAAGTGCAATTAACAAAAATAATCTATTCATTCATGAAAAAAAGGAAAGGAAACAAATTCAATAAACAAATAAAAGCAACTAAGATCTAAAGGACAAATTTCTTCATGATTCATGAAATTTAAACACAAGAATCATTAAGACTTCCTCAAAGTTAAATAGAACATTAACACAGAAAGAATGCTTCCCTATTAAGTGAACAATGAAACTTCCATGTGTCTAGTACTCCAATCTATCATTTGTTCTCTCTTCTCATACAATTTAACATAATACAGAAAAACCAGCAGATGCAGAACGGGAAGTACAGAATACCTTCTCAAATCTCGAATGTCAAACTTGAGGAAATAATCATAGGTTTTTAGTCCCTCTGCTAGCGTGTTTCAGCATATATTATTAGTTCATCAAGTATTGCCCTAGTATATTCCTTAAGTTTTCTTAAACTTCAATGCTAAATTTTTCCAGAAGTACTAATTTTCTTGCACATTCTCTATATATCACCCCTAAATCAAAACAATTGGCACCAATGGGTTCCAAAAATCAAAATTCAACCATTATCTTGTTTCTTTTTCCCCCACTTCAACCACCCAAAATGGAATTGTCTTTCCACTGGCCAAATTATGTAGTCAAAAGTCAAAACATGTGTCCGCTTTATTGTGAGTTCCTTACAGTAGATTACGCTCAAATGTTTACAGTAAATTCCAAACATAATTTAGGACTTCTGGCATAAGCAAAAGAATTTAATTGTGTTTAACCCAGTTTTTGTTGCTCTTAGTGAAAATAACACAAATAGATGCAGCAGATAATAGCTAAGAACTTGATCAAGCAAATTTTATCATACAAGAAGTCATCCATCAAAAAATTAAAATTAAGAATGGCTAAAGAAATACTTATACCTGCAAGCCATGCTTGTTAAGCCTCTTAATGGCGACTGGTATAGAATCACCTTGACCATCGGCAGGCCTAATTGTCCCCTTATAAACACTCCCAAATCCTCCTTCACCAATCTTGAGAAGTCTGCTAAAGCCATTAGTTGCCTCTTTAAGCTCTTCAAGAGAGAAAGCTCTTAAATTATGCTCCTTCTCTTTGTACAATTCAGTTATGCTTCTTGGAGAAGGTAAAGATCTTGTTGTACGGCTATTAGGTAAAATGTCTGGTCGGCTTCTGTTTCCTAATTCTGGAGCTGATCTTGATTCTCCTTTCTTCTTCTTTGATTTATCTTTGAAAATATGAAAGCACTTCATATTCTTTGTTTATTCTTTTTCAAATATATTGTACCAAAAAAGATTCCTTTGAGAGAGTTGGCTGATCCAACTAGGAAAGACGACTAGCTAGATGGTCTTTGAAGTTCTAAAAATTTGTCATTCAATTTAAGTTTAAAGCAGAGAGACAGAGCGCAAAAGTAAAACCCAGAAGGCAAATGAAAGACAGGAAGTAAATTTTACAATGAAGAAGCTAATAATATAAAACCCTTTAAAAAAATTGAATAGAAAGTGTAAACAGAACAAGCACAAAGAAGAGAATTGAACTATAGAGAAAGAGTTTCCGAGAAGGATAAGCCGTGAGCCAAAGAACAAGAACTTTAAATGGAAAAAAAAAAAAACGATTAAACAATAAATGAGCAACCAAAAGGTTTACTTATATACAGCAATTTATGTAGTGAAGAGGGAAAATGAAAAAATGAAAAAATGAAACACTGGAGGAAGAATTTGAATAGAAGGTGTGAACACAACAAATCAAGAAAAGAATTGAACTGGAGGAAGAATTTTGCGGAGAAATTATCTATGACAAAGGACAATAGCTGTGCGTGGAGAAAAAAAAACCCAAGATGAGAAAGAAAAGAGAAACAGCTCAAATGTGGAAAAATGCTAGAAAACCAAACCGATAAAGGGAAGAAAATTGCCGTGTGTGAAACGTAAAAGAACGAAACTAGGTCCGCAAGATGGTGAAAGGGACAGAACTAGACTCTGTTTTTAATTTATTACTATCTATCTATTATCTGTTTTGGGGTGACGGGTCTAACAGTAGTGAGGAAATAAATTCAAGAAAGACCAAGAAGAAGACTGTTTCTTTTCTTGGCTATGGTTGGCTGGTATCCTTTCGCAGTGGTTCAAGGTTTGATCGATTTAACCTGGTTATGATTTTTATGTCTTGTTCTGTTTTGATCAGAGAACGCGTTTCGTTTGGTGATGATGAAAGAAAGAGAAAGAACTCGTTTTCGATTTGGTCTCAGGTGAAAGGTTAAGACATTTGACTTTTTGTTTAGTCCGATATAATCTTTCTTCCATTTTGAAGCCTTTGTTTGGTTGAAAATGGTTTATTTTCTAAATAAATTTCTTACAAATATAATTTATATGTGTTTTTTTAATTAATAAAAAGTCCAATGAGCCGAAATAACACGATATGCTATAGAATAGAGATAGCCCTCCTTTGAACTCATCAAATTGATAAAAATTCTTGTAGTTAAACAGATTACTACAGCTCATTACTTCTCATTCCTCGCACATGAGAAGATTAACCATATCTGATTATCATAATTTATATGTACTTAATATGCAAACAAAATAATTTTCTAAAATGTAAGCTACTCTCAAGTTGATAAATTTAAAAGTATATCTAAATACTATAATAAATTAATAAATTTATTACACTTAACTACATAAATGTAATTTTCCTAACCATTCGTATAAAAGTTACTTTCTTTGTATAAGTAGGTATGGCTATGATTTTAGAATCCTAATTATGATTTCAAAGAAGATGAAACCGAAATTGAACGACCCTTATATAGGTTTAGAAAAGGTTTTAAAATCGCCGAATTCAATTCGCTTTCAGTTTGAAATCGAAACAAGACAATTTTTAAAAATTTTTTTAACCTTATTTAATTTTCTAATATGAATAAATAATAAAAAATAGTAATAAATAATAGTATCAATAAAAGATTAAAATATTAAATAAATAATTTAAAATTTATTAAACATATTATACAAAAAAAAAGAGAAAAAATGAAGGAGATTTCTTATTTTATTTGAGATTTTTTTTTAAAAATTAAACTTTAAATGAATGTTGTATAATTTGTATGAAAAAAAAAAAGTATATTATAAAGTGTGCAAAATTTAAATTAAAACCTTTAAATGAGGAGCAACAATTTTTTTTTGCTTTTCTAGTTAAAATTTATAAGTTATATATACGTTAGCAAGGGATGGTATTATTTTGGTAAAATTGAAATTAATATTAAAAGTTAAAAATTAAATATGTTATTTTATTTTATTTTATTTTATTTTTTAATGGTTTCAAATCTAAACCAATCTTAAATATCCCATGTAGATTACAGTTTGAAATCTTGAATCGTTAATTATGGCTTAATTTTAATTTTGACCATTTTGATTGCATTCAATTCCAGTTTAATCGAATCACTATCAATGCCTATGTGTAAAGGAAGTAGAATAAAAGAAATTATATTGATAATGCTAACTAAATAAAACAATGTATTTCTTAGTAATCACACTTTCATTGTCTACTTACCTATACCTTTAACCAAATAACGATTTAGTATCTAGAGCTTTAGAGATATTAATTTTTTGTTTATATATAGATTTAATGAGTCGAAATAATACTGTGCACTATACAATTAGAATAATTATCTCATTGATTCATCAAAATTAGTAAAAATCTTGTGGCCGATAACTGTAACATCCCTTCCCGGTCCACCCGTAAACTCGAATGAACCGAACCGATACGCTACAAACTGGTTGACTTTATGGCCTGTCATGCTGATATAATGATGGATACAGACTCTTATATCATGCTGATGCTACCTATGTCCTGTCATGCTGATATCATAATGTATATTGACTATTTTCTCATGCTGATGCTGTTTACATTAATAATGTACTTAATATTTACAAGACATAATACTAGTTTCCAAACGAAAATGGGTCCAACTGTGTGCCCTGTACATGCCATGATAAGGATAAACAAAACCAAAATATCAAAATGAGTAGCTACCCTGAAGACTGAGTCTCTACAGATGAACTGCAGCAGTTGTCCGCGGACTCTCTATGGACCAGTCTCAAAACCTGCGAGACAGGTACCACTCGCTGAGCAAATAAAGCCAGGGATATCGTCGACTTATAAAAGGAAACAAGTAAGCTTCATACTCCTAGGTATAGAAATAAATTGTAAACACATATAGATTAATTAAGCATTTAAGCAACACTATCATTTAAGATACTTTCATTATACCTTTGATTATCTTTCGTTACTGTGTTTATCAATACTGTATGAGTTCATGCATGTTATGTTCAAGATATCTGTATGGCTCCATAGAGTTATAGTGAAACACCGAAGTGATAAAAAAACGAGAAAAGGGATAAACTGCTCATGACTTGGTGCTTATTGGCCCATATATAATCATAATAACCACTCAACGGCCCTTTAGCCGCGAAGTACCAAGACTGTATGAAGTGGCAGACGCACCAGCGCGAACATTAGCCTTATCTACAATGGTTTCGACCTAACCTCAATGGGAGCATAATGTTGGTATGTCATAGTATAAACACAACATCATATTAATGGTTCATAAATTCATAAATATTCATTAATGGTTTATTTGATTTCAAAGCAGCGGATGTGTTTTGATACATGTTCTAATGTTGTCTTTGTTTTTAAAATGAGTTGGAGGCATACAGTTGAGCAAGGAATGCAATTGCATAAGAAAATGAAAGTCCAAAAAGTTGCAATGAAACCACGAGCGCGAGCTGCAGAAATGCAAGTCGCGAGCGCGCACTTGCAAGTCGCGAGCGCGTAAAGGGCAAAATGAGAGTCAGTGAGTTATCGAGCACACGTCGCGAGCGCGCACTTGAAAGTCGCGAGCGCGTAATGTGCAAAATGAGAGGCAGAGAGCTTCAGGCTAAAGTCGCGAGCGCGCAAGTGCAAGTCGCGAGCGCGCGATGTGTTTCCAGTCTACGCGGTTGCGCGACGTGCTTCCAGCCTGCGCGAGCTGCACTCTTTTGGTCATATCTCTCAATATACAACTCCGATTTGGGTGATTCAAAAACCCATGTAAAGCTAACACTTCCTAATTCCTCAATTAAAATAGCCAAATCAAGGAAGCACGTCTTTTCCAGCAAACCTGTTTCAGTCATAACCAAACACCAATCACTTCCATCCCATGCTTTCTCACATTTTCAGTCCTTCTCACTCAAACATAAGCGCAAATAGTTGTCTCATTTATCAACACAACCACACAAGTTCTTCATGCAAAGAAAATGATAACAAAGCCAAGTTGATACAACCTTTACTCCAAAAAAGGCTTGAGCTCCTTTAGCTTTCCTTTTTCTTATTATCTTTGAACTCACTTCTCCTATACACATCAGAATTCTATAACTTATCATTTACAATATACCTCCAATTAGAGGTGAAATAACATAAACGTTTCAAGGAAATTCGGACTTACTTGGAGGAAAATTGATGTTGGCCTTAATGCTTAACTACCATGAAAATGGATTGGAGGAAAGGAAAGGAAGTAGAGTGAAGAAGTAGAAGAAAAGATGAAATTGGAAAGAAGGATAATCACGGGTAGGCCATAAAATATCAGGGATTTTTTATGTAAAACTTTACTAATGGTAACCTCAATTGTCAACAGGTTACAACTTAATACCCAAGCTTGATCTTTTAGTGCAAGTAAATCCTAAACCCTTTATACTGACTCTCTATTCAAGGCAACCGGGTTTGGTTCGGCCCGACTCAACTCGACTCTATGAAAAGACTCGACTCAGTAGGATGTCACAATAACAGTATTAGATCTATCTTATAAAAAGAGGGTTAGTTGAATCTTATTTTTTAAACATTTTTAATATATATATGTATATTTGTCTATATTAACCATTATGTCTTTGATCTTTTTTTTTTAAATTATATATTGTTCCTGAAAATAAAAAGTATTAGCTCTGCCACTGATTTAAAGGACACGAATATAAAATTTATCGCTCTCCACATTTTTATAAAAAGTGAGCCAATCAGTTTTTTATTATTAATATTTAAAACAAAAATATGACATTTTTAATAAATTAAATAATGCCATAAGATTTATTTATTTATTATTAAAACAGAATACATGAAGTTATCATTACACTGGTAACATAAAACATTATATTAAAAAAAAAAAAAAAAAAAAAAATACATAATAAGAAAATAAAACAATGATATTCATAGTTTGGCCTATAAGTTAATGTATCATATAAGAAGTAATATTCCTATGGATTTAACACCCAAAATGTTATTGGTTAGATTTACTAACCAATGTGTGTGAAACAATTTTTTTAAAAAAAAAAAAAAAAGAAACTATAGTTGGCCTAATTTGTATCATTAAGAGTAATATCATGCTACAACAAAAGTATTGGTAGATCTAAATTTAACAATTCTCGATATTAACAGTGAAAGAAGGTAGTTCGGTGGTAAAAAATAATTGTAAAATTAATCAGGGTAAAAAATAATTGTAAAGTTAATCACTATGACTTAAGTTATAAATTTAATCATCCGCAATGAAAATTCATATGGATCAGTCTCTTTATCTCTGAAAGCGAACCAGGATTAATGGACACGTAGCCAGGATACTTTATGATAATATTAAAATAGATTAAGATCACATTTAATTATTATTTCCAAAAAGAAAATAATAAAGAAATAGAAATGGTATAATGAATGTTTGTTTATCCTGAGTGTTGAGAAGAAACACAGAGGACTGCCGGTTTCTTTGAAGTTGCATTGCAATGGCAAAGATGATAATATAATTTATTATATTTTACGTCAATATATGACTTTCTGCTCAATGCCGCTGACTCTTTTTAGTCATCTACTCCTATTACATCAACTCTTCGTCCAAAGTCAAAATTCCACAACATATATTGATCTATTTTGAATTATTAAATTTTCATAAAACTGAATAATTAAAAAAATTAGTAAAAGAATAGAATGATTCAAACTTTATAAACAATTAAATCAAATAATAATTTAAAAAAAATCGAACTAACAAAATATTTCTAATACTTTTTTCAGTATCATCATGGGTGTTCCAAGCCCACTAAGCTAAAATTAATAAAATATTTTTAATATTTTAAATTAACGAGT